ACTAAAAATATTGATTAATATGCATTGCTGGTTGTGATGGAGATGAAGGAAGGGATTAGTTTGGTTCAATCACTTTGATACTCTTACTGTTAACACAAATACTTACTTATATTTTGTTTCCCTAGGGAAATCTATACCATCAAGAAATCCCGAGGTGGCAAATATTTCTCCTGGGTTTCCTTCAGACTCTGTTAAACACAGACCTGAGGGGACCACAGATGATTTTACTGGAACTGGCTCATATACCAATGACAAACCATCTTCTAATACCCCATCTTGGGGTATTCAAAAACAGATTGCCAGCCACAAAGGTTTGTTCATTTCAAGTGAGTCATAACTTCCAGGGAATAGACTGGATACTAAAAATATTGATTGTTATAATCCATCAAATATTTTCCCTTGCACGCGATTGGTCTAAACATGTCATGTGGCCGAATATTCCCCAGCTGAAACTGGGGAATATCCGAGAATATTCCCCAATTTTGAAAACTGCGCGCGTTGCGGAAAAGATCTGAAGAATGATAAACACAATAGCCTCTATTTTGAGCGAAAATATGCTCGGATATTTGTCCTTGGATATTATCTGTTCCTCAAAGCTCACAGTCTTCCTTGAGCTACACTCTCAGAAAACTGTTCACTTCTTGGAACAAATCATGTCCGCAGACAAATATCCGAGCATATTTTCGTGCCAAATGGAGGCTATTGTTTATATATACATTGCTGTTGCTGGTTGTGATGTTGATGAACGAAGGCATTGGTTTGGTTCAATTACTTTGGTACTCTTACTGTTAACACAGATACCTACTGATATTTTGTTTTGCTAGGGAAATCTATACCATCAAGAAATCCCGAGGAGGCAAATATTTCTCCTGGGTTTGCTTCAGACTCTGTTAAACACAGACCTGAGGGGACCACAGACGATTTTACTGGAACTGGCTCATATGCCAATGACAAACCATCTTCTAATACCCCATCCAGGGGTACCCTAAATGGGATTGCCAACCACAAAGGTTTGTTCATTTCATGTGAGTTATACATGTAACTTCCAAGGAATGGACTGGATACAAAAAATATTTAACAATTATTCGCCAAAGGGCGAAGTGAATATTTACCAATGTTCACTGAGCCTGACGCAAATAATTGTTTTAGTATAAGTTTTAGAAGTGAACATCAAGGACTACAAAATAACGGACTAAACCATAAAAACACAGACCCAATTGTTTGTGTGCATACATGTATGCAGTGGTAGTTTTAATAAAGCTTGCGTGGACATCGATTGTCAATAAATTTCCTTATCGAGTTTGGCAGTAAAACAAACGAGCAAAACACTACGAAAAATAAATTCATCCGGTACCTTTGTTTTATCGTTGTTTACTTCATTCGCAGTTGTCATCATCGCCTAAGAATGAGAAGCTTTAGTGTGAAGAAAAATAAATTTCAGCCAATCGATCTGACCTGCTGGTGATCAACGTAACCACTGCGTTCACAATTCTTAAAAGCCTTGAATACAGGTTCTTGAAAAGATTTTTCGTCCAAGGGCGGCTACAGTCATTTTGAAAATTTCCATCCTTTCAAATATCCTGGACTTCGAGTGATGTCTCTTGAATAAATGAAAACTTCTTTAAGCAACTGTCCGCCATGTTTACTTGCCGAGGTGGCAAAGATGGCGAGCTTAGTACCCAAGCTCCTACAGGGTGAATATATAGAGGATATTACACGGTGGCGAGATATGAATTTTATGTTCGAGTGGCAAGAACAATATCTCACGGGTGAGCGAAGCGAACGAGTGNATACGGAAAATACGCCACTCGGGTCCCGGATGAAGTGGCGTATGGAATCTACGAGTGGTTTAGTTCCCAGTAAAACACTCTTCTCCATATAATAAAACGTCATATGATGAGATTTGCGACCATTCAGCTTGTCCAATTCTTATATTCACCCCTGGAAATTATACTAAATTAAATTAACAATTAGATTATGAGCTCGATATTTTTATGTGGTGATAGTCAGGGGCGCCCCTGGGTGATAGTTGATGAAGCCAAAGGCCGAATCAACTATCATCTCATAGAAATCGAGAGCGCATAATCTACTTGTTTTAGTAGAATTCTTACTAAAATTTACTTCAAATAACGGTTTCCAATTATTTCTCAACGTATTATTAAACTTTGCACCTGAAAAAGATCGCTCACATTGAATGGTCATTTAAAATTGAAGTTGTGCGTGCACGCGCATGAGTTTTTTCAATAATTTCAATGTTTTTAAAAGTCAAGAAACCCTAAGTGTCCTTGGTTTAGACTTCTCAGGAATTTAATTATCCATTTGCATCAAACTTTTCCTGTAAAACTTTGGAAAAAGGAAGAAAACCGTCGCCATTTCCTAGACGACCTCCAACCACACTAATGGCTGATAGTGTTCAATGGCTCAACCAATCAGATTACAGCATTTGCGTAATGATTAATATACATTGCTGGTTGTGATGTAGATGAAGGAAGGAATTAGTTTGGTTCAGTTACTTTGATACTCTTGCTGTTGATACAAATACTTACTTATATTTTGTTTCCCTAGGGAAATCTATACCATCAAGAAATCCCGAGGTGGCAAATA